TTTTAAAGCATTTGCGATCATTTTAGCTGAGCAGCCAATAATTTTCTGCACTTCTTTATATGTTTTCCCCTCTCCAATCAACTTTTTAATCAAGGTACGCTGTTCTTCTGAACAATGTCTGGAACGACCCATTTTCCTCAGAATTTCTGAGAGAATGCACTGTAACCAGCATGTACAACATTTGCTGCCTTCCTTCCTTAAATAAGGGCAATAATTGCCACCTGTTTTTCAAAGAATGAATGACCTCACTAATAGAACTCCACACTGCTATTATTTTGAACACGCCCCTTTCAATGAGTGATTCAATTACACAGAATCAGCAGCATGCATGTCATGACTGTTGGGTCTGTTGGATTTCTATTACTCTACTACACCTGCTAGTAAATTATTTGCCATGTAGAAATATCATTTCTACCAAAAACAGTGATTGATCGGTTAGTGATGTCTGTCTGCTATTATTTTGAACACAACTGTACCTAATAAAAGGATATGCATTCAAGAATGGTCCGTAAAGGATATATCAAAATATGAGACTGACCGTATCTTGAGCAGGTTAATGTATGGAACAAATAGAATTTCACTCGGTAATAGATGTAACTATGTATCGAATACTATCATGGGAATGTGTATGTAATAAAGCTGACCAAAATCTCTGAACAAAATGTCTCCGTCAATATCTGTAAGATCCTATTGCCCACGTGGGGGGGGGGGGGGGGGGGGGGGGGGGGGGGTCTATATAGACATTGAAACCATATAATATGAGGTCAAAACTAAACTAAACACATTCAGTTGTATCCAATTAGGCGGCCCTTGCACTACATAGTTGAAGGTAAATCTAAAGGAAATTGGGCAGAAAATTGTATAGTGTATGGCCAGCCTTCGGTCAGGTTCACACTATACTGGACAGCTGCTGGAGTGCAGTTCAACGCATCACATGGCTTTTTTTTTTGCCGTTTTGTATCAACTTTATTTGGAGTGTACAAATCATGCACTTCATTTCTGGCGCTGTACAGCAGCACGGTGCAATGCATTGCCATACAATTTTGTACAATAAGCTGCGGCAAAATGCAGCATGCCTCCATGTTACCGCAGCACTAGGCTGAGTTGCACTGTGAATGAGATCGATAAGAAACCCTTTTTTTTCCTTTGTATCCTTGTGGTGACAGTCATACAATACAGCAAAATGTCCGTCACTACAAATTGTGTAAATTAGCCCTCATAGTCCAATGTGAGTGCAGACCGGTGGGAGGGGATGAGAGGGGAGGGGAGAGAGAGGGAGGAGAGGGGAGGAGAGGAGAGAGGGAGAGGGGAGAGGGAGAGAGGAGAGGGGAGAGAGAGAGGGGAGGGAGAGGGGAGAGGAGAGGGGAGAGAGGGGAGGGGAGAGGAGAGGGGAGAGGAGAGGGAGAGAGGAGAGGAGGAGAGAGAGGGGAGAGGGGAGGGGAGAGGAGGGAGGGGAGGGGGAGGAAGAGGGAGAGGAGAGGGGAGGGGGGAGAGGAGAGTGGAGAGGGGAGAGGAGAGAGGAGAGGGGGAGGGGAGAGTGGAGGAGTCAATTGAACTTGGGCACGGTTCAAAAACAGACCTAGTGTGAGTGTACCCTTAAAAAACAAACAAACAAAAAAAAACAAACAAAAAAAAAAAAACACCACTAGGACAATTAGACACTCTCCCAGTGACCTTTTAAAAAGTTACTGGGGACGCAAATGGTTAAAACAATGACTAAAATGGTACCCTTTAAAAGAAGGTTAAACAAACACATTACAATCTGATTGGCTGGTCTCTGACTCTCGCTTTAGGTCCACCGACAACTTTATAGAACAAGAGACTCTCACATTGCATTGGTAACACTAAAGGAAGGTGTTGCGACCAGATTCATGTCATGTGTATGGGTGGAGGGTTTATTTAAGGAGGTAAAAGGTGTGTTACTGACTATGGTAAACCAAGGTCCTCAAGCTACGCCCGCCAAAGGCATTAGTCCAGCCAGCCATAGAGAGGGGGGGGGGGGGGGGACTCTCGGCTTTAGGGAGAGAGAGGGAGGGAGAGAGAGAGAGAGAGGGAGAGAGAGGGAGAGAGAGAGAGAGAGGGAGAGAGAGGGAGAGAGAGAGAGAGAGAGGGAGGGAGAGAGAGGGAGGGAGGGAGAGAGAGAGAGAGGGAGAGAGGGAGAGAGAGAGAGGGAGAGGGAGAGAGGGAGAGGGAGAGAGGGAGAGGGGGGGAGAGGGAGAGAGGCATTAGGGAGAGAGGGAGAGAGAGAGGGAGAGAGGGAGAGGGGGAGAGGGAGAGGGAGAGGGAGAGGGAGAGGGAGAGGGAGAGAGGGAGGGAGAGGGAGGGGAGAGGGAGGAGGAGAGAGAGGAGAGGAGAGAGAGAGAGAGAGAGAGAGAGGGGGGGGGGCGCTGGCCTGCAAATAGCTAGGCCGCTCGCTGGGTCCTTGGTCACCCTTGGAAGCCCCGGATTTCACCTGCTGCAGCCAGAGGAGCAACAGGAGAGGAGAGTACGCCAGGCAACAGGTACAGTGCATTGCAGCCTCCAGTGCGTCAGTGTACAGTGCATTGCGGCATCCAGTGCGTCAGTGTACAGTGCGGCCTCCAGTGCGTCAGTGTACAGTGCGGCCTCCAGTGCGTCAGTGTACAGTGCATTGCGGCATCCAGTGCATTTTGAATATTGTATTATTTTTTCCTGTTTGTTTGCACTACAAATGATATGTGCGGTGTACAGAACAATTTGTTCATATTTTTTTTTACAACCTTTAGTCCAGCCCCCCCAACAGTGTGAAGGTCCATGAACTGCCCCCCCGTTTAAAGAGTTTGAGGACCCCTGCTCTAAACCATGCAGTACTAAAAAAACTCCCTTTTCCAGAACGGTTATTTTAGGACTTGCTTTACCCAGAGGTCATATGTACAGTGGATCGCACTTTATGCTAGTCAAGTAAAAAAGGGAATCAACAACCGGCATACCCAGGCCTGTACCATAACGCAGTGTAAAAGTATCAGAGGTACGCAGGCCATAAATCAAAGCAAGCAGAAAACCAGCCTGTGAGGTCATCTTTGTTATTTCTGATTGGCTTGTACTGCTAAATACACTTTGACATTGCTGTAAAGCATGGGTGTCAAACTGGTGGCCCTGCAGCTGTTACCAAACGACAAGTCTCATGAGGCATTGCAAGATTGACAGTTACAAGCATGACTCCCAAGGGCAGAGAAATGATGGGACTTGTAGTTTCGCAACAGCTGCAGGGCCGCCAGTTTGACACCCCTGCTGTACAGTAATCAATAACATGTCCTATCTGCTGGAACACTGCCACCTACTGGATAATGGGAGGTACTGCATGCTAATGCAAAAAAAAAAAATCCACCTAAAAGAAAATATAACAGTTTGTATAAAACATATTCAGGCATTTTTTTCATGCTGTAAACAGGAGTTGTATTTATATACACATGTAACGGAATATGAAATTGTAGTTTTATATGTAACAGACATTTTTTAGTTTATAAATGTAACAGACAATTTAATTTTATTTCTTATAAATGTAACATATTTCAAGCATTGTAAATGTAACAGACAAAATGTAGCCAAAATATGTAAACTTTGCTGTGTAGAACAAACTCTGTTTTAAATTATATTAAAATTGTTTTTAAAAAAGTTGCAACAATTCCTTAGTGTACTGGGAGATGGACAAAGCCTAGAACAGTGGGCTCCGCTGTGCGGCCCTTTTCATCCAGCCTCTTGGGGCACGATTTCATTCACTGACACAAACAATGGGCCACAATTCCAACCACTAACACCAATGAAGGGGCAAAGTTTCTCCCAATGACACCAACAATAAGGCTCACTGACATTGGGACCTTTTCTACTCCCAATGGCCATAGTCCACCCCCCCCCCCCCATCCCCCACTAAAGTCTGAAGGACAGTAAACTGGCCCTTTCTTTAGAAAGTTTGGAGACCCCCAGCCTAGAATATGCACAGCCACTGATAAGATGAACCAATTTCAGCAATTTGGCATTTAATGCAATGATCACTCTGACAGAATGCCTTTTACAGCACTGTGGGCCTTTTTCACTCTCCCAGGTTTTAATAAGCCCCTAAGAGCTAGTTCACACTAGATGCAGTCCAGTGTGCATTTTTTTTCTGCATCAAAAATGCATGCACAGTGTTTTCCATGTATTCCAGTGACCCTAGTTCACACTTGTGCAGTCAGTTTCCGATGCAGAAAAAAAAAAGTATGTTATGTGCACCCACTTATACTACCTCAAATGGACATAAAGACAGGGTCTCATTAAAGTGGAGCTGTACTTGCGTCACCTCCAGCGATGCGACATTCATGGGCGGATGGGCACCCACATCTTCTGATGAGCTTCTTCTGGCTTCAGGGTCTTCGGTCACCTTGGCTTACCAGGATGATGCAACTCTCATGCATGCACAGCTCAGTGTACAGTGTAAACCATTTCCAAAAACTTTCATTGCTGATGGCTTGTAGTTGTCAATGAACTGCAAGGGTGGTAGTGAGCGCTCTCCCAGTTCATCGATCTTCCTGCTCTCCGGTGACAGCCTGCCCATTTCCGAGGTACAGGCACACAGCTATTCTGAGAATCTACAGGAGCCTTGCATTGCACCCATGATCTGATCATGGTTCAATGCTCTGCAGACTCCTTCGAAAAAGAAAAATAAATGCACTTATTTTTACCGGCAAAAAATGTGCATTTATTATTTTTTCAAAAGGTGAATTTATTAAACTAGAATAAAGAGGAAAAAAGGTGGTGGCAAAAAAAAAAAAAAAAAAAAATCAGGCTGCTGTTATAAAACGTGACAATTACTACACCCAAACTGTTGGGTACATTTCTATTTACCTTTCTTTCAATTTTGTCCAGAATGCCCTTGATTTAAATATAAAAAAAAGTAGAACTTTCTTAGAATCCAACATTAATATCTGCTTATTGTACTACATGCCGAGCCAGTAAGAGCTAAAGTCACCAGTGCTTTGCATTTGACGTCAGCCATGTCTGTGTGTTCAGGAAAATTCATCCAGGAATCGCACGTGAAATTCTTTGACTTTCTGTAACAGCAGCTTTAGCTTCTCCAGTGGAGGTAGAATGGTCATCCTAGAAATACAGAAAACATGGTGAAAAATGGATAAGGATCCAGGTCTTGTACAGGCCCTGGAGAGGGGGAAGGAAGAATATAGGGTCTGCATTTAATACTAGTCATAGGCAGAGCAAGTATTGTGGCAGCTGAACCTAAAGATAGCCATAGAAAGACCCATTTTACTCGATCAGCTCACTGACCAATCCGACAACAGCTCTGTAGAAGGTCGACCACTGTATCTGCTCCTCTCTGTGATCACTTTTCCCAGACAAGCAACAGCAAGAAGAAAGCAGTAGGAGGAACATGCGTCAGCCTCTGCATCCTTCTTGCCATTGTGTGTCTCAGGGAAAGTGTTCAGTCAAGACCTACTGCAGCTATAAATCAAACATCTCCTTCAGAACTATTGTCAGGATCAGCAGGAGTGAAGGGGACAGGCAGGCATTTCTGGATGTGGTCACTGATCCCCGTTTGGCGTTTCTGGATGTTGTCACTGTCATTGATCCCCCCCCATTTGGCATTCCTGGATGTTGTCATTGATCGTGTTTGGCGTTTCTGGATGTTGTCACTGTCATTGATCCCCCTGTTTGGCGGTGCTGGATATCGCTCATTGATCCCCGTTTGGCGTTTCTGGATGTTGTCACTGTCATTGATCCCCCTGTTTGGCATTTATGGATATCCAGATTACTAAATATTTTGCCATGAGAATGTAAAGATCCATGTTTCATAAAACCACCTACCAAAGTTCTTTGATGGGGTGCACAGAGTGCAGCAACCAATAGCAGCCAGACAGAACTGAGCTGACTCCTGATATAAGTCTGTGGATTTCTGCATCACACAGATTTTCACATTGCATCAACCTGACAGACACTTTGCAGGGAATGTGTGCTTGGAGAAATACATGGGCTGCCATTGCTGACACCTCCTAAAAATGCTGTTTGCCTGCTGTCATGATGACTCTCTGAATTCTTTACATCGAATAAACGTCCTAGAGATGCAAAGAATTGATTTATACAAACTAAAGCAAAGGCAACTGCTGCCCACAGCAAAAAGACACCTGTGCTTCCTTTATCTGGGTTAGGACATAGAATTGTGATTGAGGTGATTGTAGCCGCATTAGTGCACTTGTGACAAACAATTGAGTACTGTCTGTCATACTTTTTTTTTTGTTTGCACGAACATACAATTTTCAGGACGAGCTCTCGGGGTATGTCCCCTTCAAGGTACAAGCAGTACTACTTCAAAGTTTTAGCAGAATGTTAAAACTTTGTGAAGCAGTACTACCTTGGACCTTGAAGGGGACATAACCCAAAAGCTTGTCCTGAAAATGTTATGTTGGTGCAAATAAAAAAAAAAAAAAAAAGCATCACAGAAAGTACTGAATTGTGACATAGAATTGTGAGAGTGACTTGTTCCTGTGGGTGAGTGTCCCAGATTTTGTGTCATTGAAGTACTACATAAGGAATAGGACAGTCAATGTTACCTGAAATGGTAAGTCCCCTCTCTTTGGCCAAAACCACTTCCTGGTACAACACAAATCCCCATCTGCTCCAGTAACTGCATACAGTAGAACATGTCCGGCTCCATCTGCAGCTCCTGTTGGTAGAAGACGCTCATTCTTTATTTTTAGGTTTTTCTTTTGACACATTAAAGTGGCTGTAAACCTCAGACATGAAATATGAACAAAGTATATCTCTCTATAGTGCATGTTTGTCTCAATCCAGAGCGAAGCATATCCCTCTATAGTGCATGTGTCTCAATCCAGAGCACTAAGAGTCGTTTCTATCTGCCTCATTCCACTATCAGCATGTGCCACATCTGACAAGTTTTCCTGACATCAAGAGAAAAAGAAAAAAAAAAAAAAAAAAAAAAAAAATGGATGGGAAGAAGGGGGTCTCTTCCTCCAATCAGCCCTCGGACCCTTCAATGAGCTCTGCAAAGTGTAACTTCAGCTCCCCGCTCCTTGCTTTCTGAAAGCTCAGACAATCTGTATAAATTCAGCACATTGAACAAATGTAGAGAAGAGTGCCACAGATAAACAGGTACAACTTATGTAGGAAGATTTGTTTAATCTCTGTGTATCACCCGAGGCCAGTCACTTCACTGGAGATAGGAGAGGGTTTGCGAGAACTTTAAAGCTGAATTCCAGGTATAGTTTTTTTTTTGGATAGTACACAAGTCCAGCTTAGTCCAATGTAAGCATGCATTTTCCATACCTGGCTGATCCCTACGGAAGTAGAAAATCACTGTAGTAGCCAAAGCTAGTACAGCGATTCTCACTGTTGTCCGGTTCCCTTGCCAAGTGGCTGCCCTGCTTCATGGTATCACAGGTGCTTGCTCGCTTGGCATGGGTGCCAATTCACAGAACCTCTTGCGTTTTTCTCAAATAATGCAAAGAGTTGCTTGATTGGATGAGGTGAAGAGATGGGCCAGTGGCTTCACGCTTTCCACCTTGTCCAAACAGAGAATGCCCCGTATTTATGAAGATGCTCTCTAAATGACACCTGTGTCAAACAAACAACTTCTATGCAGCAGGGAAGCCACTTGGCATGGACCTGGAAGACAGCAGCAACCAGTATAGTAGTGGCCCACATAGAAGAAAAATATATTTGGAATATATTTTTAAAATATTCTTCTCAAATATATTGACATATTTGAAATGGTACAATTTTGGCCGTATTCAATATATGTAAAAAAAAAAAAAAAAAAATATTTCAAAGAAAAAAAAAAAAAAAAAAAAAAAAAAAAAAAAAAAACATATAGGAGAGATATAAGAGATAGAGATTTCAGATATGTCAATATATTTGGGAAGAATATTTTTAAAATAGATTTCAAATATATTTTTCTTCCATATGGGGGGGGGGGGGGGGGGGGGGGGGGGGGGGGGGGGGGGGGGGGGGGCTACTACAGTGAATAATCTGTCATTGTGGCCACATGGAACAGTGCTGAACTGACCTTCGCCTTCTCTACAGCTCGAGGTGGGATGAAGATTCGAGGAAAGGCGTACATGGCACCCTGTAGGGGGTTACATTGAAGGCCGGAAACCTGATTAAATAATTCCTCCGTCACTCTGGCCTTCTGAGCGAGATTCCCAAGGACAGCTTCTTTCTCCTGAGGGGACAATATACAGAAAAACTATAGCAAGCTTGGGTCTATTTAAATTCAGGGAGGTACACCCCACACAAGCAGCGAGCACAATATTGCAGGTTACAATACATAAAACATGAATAGAGGGTGCAGAGCTAAAACAGAATTTTAAATGTGCTTTTCCATATATCAGAAAGTCCCAAAGATTTTATATATACACACACACACAATAAAAAGTCCATCAGCCAAGAAAAGCCGATTTGAACGTTTTAGCGCGCGGCACCCTCAATCTATTCATGACAATATGCATTAAATTCAAATTACTAACTCTGACATACAAAGCCATTCATAACGCTGCCCCAAACTACCTCACTGACCTGATACCCAAATACCACCCTACCCGTACTCTCCGCTCCTCACAGGACTTCCTACTCTCTAGCTCCCTGGTCTCCTCCTCCTACGGACTGCAGGACTTCCCCCATCCTCTGGAACTCCCTACCCCAATCCATCAGACTGTCACCTACCCTCCTCACCTTCAGGCACACCTGAAAACCCATCTCTTCAGGGAAGCCTACCCCACCCTCACCTAACAGCCATTCTCCTCCACTCCTCCTACCACTCCATCCCCCACATCCACTTCCTCCTGTACCTCTACCCCCTCCCTCCTAGATTGTAAGCTCGAAAGAGCAGGGCCCTCGAACCCCTCGTGTATTGTATTGTTACTGTATTGTCTTGTTCTGTCCCCCCCACTCTAATGTACAGCACTGAACAAACCTTTTGGCGCTATATAAAACACTGTATAATAATAATAATAAATACAGAAGTCTCTGGTTCACATAAGGCCCTTCTCAATAAAATTATACCACAAGAAGAAGAAAAAAAAAAAAAAAAAAAAAACCCCACACAAAAACATAGAATTCCATTGTAAACAAAACAATTCTTCGGAATCTAATAGAGCTGGATATAGGTCTCCAATTACAGAAATTCTTACAAAGGAAAATCCTCCACATCAGGAACAAAGGACACCATACTTCCCAGAAACTGACCAGAACATGGTGTGACACTGGCCATGCTGAATAAAGAGGTCTGTGCTGAACATACCCGGATAAACTGCTCGTAGGATTCTTCACTGGGCTGTGGCGGGTTCACTACGACGTCCATCGCTGCCTGGCCTGACACTGGTGGGCAAAGACGGACCGACAGCATCTTCATTAACTGGGCCTGTATATCTGGGTGCAGATTCAGCACCTCCATGTAACCTCCTCTGTAACCGCATCTAAGACATGAGAATATCATGTAGTGTGAACATATAGATTCATCGATTTTATATACGAACACAATAACAAGGCAGAAAAACATACGGCTAGCAGTTAGAAACTCCAGCCAAAATGTTCATTTTTTTTTGGTATTTGGATACAAAAAAGGTGACATTAAAGTGTTACTAAACCCACAACAGAAATACTGCTACAGGGCGGCACGGTTGTGCAAAATCACATACAGATACACGAGATTTTGCAGTTCTGGGCAGGGGGCACGTGGGAGCATGCCCTATTCGCTGCCTCGGCTGTCAATAACCGGGTCCCGGCTGGTGATTACTCGTCTGCACCCGGTGATCGCTTATTATTACCGACGGGGGAGAGAACTGTACGTAAACAATACAGTTCTCTCCGATCAGCTCCTGCACACTGCTTTTGTACGGCTCTGCATAGAAGAGCCACACAAAGCAGTGTGCTTACAGTTGAAAGCACACACACAGCATACAGTTAACCCTGTGATTGTCCCACGTTAACCCCTTGCTATTTATTAGCACCGATTACTGTATTGGTGTCACTGACACCAAGTCAGTTCCCCTCAGTGTCAGAATGCCCCCGCAGTCCCACGATAAGATGCCTATTGCCGCCATTACTAGTAAATTAAAAAAAAAAAAAAAAAATATATATATATATATATATATATATATATATATATATATATATATATATATATATATATATATATATATATATATATATATATATATATATATATATATATATATACATACATACATACACATACACACACACACACACACACACATACATACAGTGGGGATCGAAAGTTTGGGCACCCCAGCTAAAAATTTGTATTAATGTGCATAAAGAAGCCAAGGAAAGATGGAAAAATCTCCAAAAAGGGCATCAAATTACAGATTAGACATTCTTATATATGTCAACAAAAGTTAGATTTTATTTCCATCATTTACACTTTCAAAATAACAGAAAACAAAAAAATGGCGTCTGCAAAAGTTTAGGCACCCTGCAGAGTTAATATCTTGTACTGCCCCCTTTGGCAAGTATCACAGCTTGTAAACGTTTTTTGTAGCCAGCCAAGAGTCTTTCAATTCTTGTTTGAGGTATCTTTGCCCATTCTTCCTTACAAAAGTCTTCCAGTTCTTTGAGATTTCTGGGCTGTCTGTCACGCACTGCTCTTTTAAGGTCTATCCATAGATTTTCAATTATGTTGAGGTCAGGAGATTGTGAAGGCCATGGCAAAACCTTCAGTTTACGCCTCTTGATGTAATCCCCCGTGGATTTCGAGGTGTGTTTAGGATTATTATCCATTTGTAGAAGCCATTCTCTCTTTAACTTCAGCTTTTTCACAGATGGCATCAAGTTACCATCCAAAATTTGCTGAAATTTTATTGAATCCATTTTTCCTTCTACTCGTGAGATGTTCCCTGTGCCACTGGCTGCAACACAACCCCAAAGCATGATTGATCCAACCCCATGCTTAACAGTTGGACAGAGGTTCTTTTCATTAAATTATGTGCCCCTTCTTCTCCAAACGTACCTTTGCTCATTCCGGCCAAAAAGTTCCATTTTAACCTCATCGGTCCACAGAACTTGTTTCCAAAATGCATCAGGCTTGTCTATATGTTCATTTGCAAAGTTCAAACGATGATTTTTGTGGTGAGGACGTAGAAGAGGTTTTCTTCTGATGACTCTTCCATGAAGACCATATTTGTACAAGTATCTCTTTATAGTGGAATAGTGTACCACAACTCCAGTGTCTGCCAGATCTTTCTGGAGGGATCGTGCAGTCAAACGTGGGTTTTGAATTGTTTTTCTCACAATCCTGCGAGCTGTTCTGTCTGATATTTTTCTTGGTCTTCCATATCTTGCTTTAACTTCCACTGTTCCTGATGACTGCCATTTCTTAATTACATTCCGAACAGAGGATATTGACATCTGAAAACGCTTTGCTATCTTCTTATAGCCTTCTCCAGCTTTGTGAGCGTCAACTATTTTCAGTTTCAGTTTTCTAGACAACTGCTTAGAAGAACCCATGGTGCTGATTGTTGGGGCAAGGTCAGATGAGTCTGGGCATTTGAAACCTTTGAGATGGACATCACCTGGTCTTCCCAGATGATGATTGAGAACAATCCATGACACTGGCAGGTCTCAGCTTGGCAAAGGGGGCAGTGCATGCTATAAATTCTGTGGGGTGCCCAAACTTTTGCAGACGCCATTTTTTTGTTTTCTGTTATTTTGAAAGTGTAAATGATGGAAATAAAATCTAACTTTTGTTGACATATTATAAGAATGTCTAATCTGTAATTTGATGCCTTTTGGAGATTTTTCCATCTTTCCTTGGCTTCTTTATGCACATTAATACAAATTTTTAGCTGGGGTGCCCAAACTTTCGATCCCCACTGTATATATATATATATTTTATTAATTACACATACATACCACCATTTGTAGACGTTATAGGAAAAACTCACGTAAACCAAATAATTTACACGTATTGGGATTTTTTTTTTTCAGCAGACATGTAGCAGAATACATTTTGTCCTAAATTCATTAGGAAATTTAATTTTTTTAAACTTTTCTATTGGATATGTTTTATAGAAAAAAGTCCAAAATATTGTTTTTGTTTCCTCAAAATTGTCAGTCATTTTTTGTTTATAACACAAAAAAAAAAAAAAAAAAAAAAAAAAAAAAAAAAAAAACGTACAGGCGATCAAATACCACTGTGGGGGAAAAAAAAAAAAAAAAAAAAAAAAAAAAAAAGACGTAGATTTAATTTAGGTGCAGCGTTGCATGACCATGCAATTGTCAGTTAAAGTAACGCAGCACCGTAACGCAATAACCTGGTCAGGAAGGGGGGTAAATTCTCAGGAGGGTGAGGGGTTGATTCTGGACACTTACTCTCCCATATAACCCTTGGAGGTGGAGTGGAATGAGGCAAGCTCTACATTACTGCTGTACTCTGGTCCCATCTCAAACAGAACTTTCTTGAAGGAATGGAAATGGCAGTTGTCGGAATAGATATTGTCCTGGTAGACCTGCGCAATACAGACAACGCATGTTTATATTACAGATGATACAAAGCAGTATTCAGTAAACACGCTTTTAAACCGTTCTCCATCTACAAAACATTTCTGATGTGCTCAAGAATATCTATTCAACTGTAACCTCTGACGGAATGAATGGATTACATGCCCTAGATATTTTCCTGTACGTACAGTGTTTTTGAAAAGACAACACATGGTGAAAAATTGTCCTGTATTACAGAGATGACGACTCGTCATGCCAGACCAACCCTTCAAATATTCATTTTATGCAGATAAATAGACATTTCGTACCATTATACACCAATTTTTTATTCTGAAAAGTTGATGCAAGAATGATAGTAAAATCAAAACTCTCTCATTTGACACTATTGTCATTAACCACTTGCCCTCCAGAAGAAGATTTACCCCCCCCAGGCCCCCTTCCTGACCAGGCTATTTTTTGCAATTAGGCTCTGCGTTACTTTAACGGACAATTGCGGGGTCATGCAACGCCGTACTTAAATTACATTTGTCTTTTTTTTTTGTGGAGCTTTCTTTTGGTGGTATTTGAACACCTGTGTTTTTTATTATTTGCAATATAAACAAAAAAAACTGACAATTTTGAAAACAAAAAAAAAAAAATAATATATTTTTTGACTTTTTGCTTAAAACATATCCAATAAAAAAAAAAAAAAAAAAAAAAAAAAAAAAAAAAAAAAAAAGGTAACATTTCGCCATAAATTTAGGCCGAAATGTATTCTGCTCCGTATCTTTGCTAAAAAAGATCCCAATAAGGTGTATATTCATTGGTTTACGTGAAAGTTAGAGAGTCTACAAATGGCGGTATATATATACTGGAATTTTTTTTATACTAGTAATGGTGGAGATCAGCGACTTATAGCGGGACTGCAGCAGGCATTCTGACACTGGGGGGAACTGACCAACTGCCACTGATATCTCCAGTGACATTAATATAGTGATTAGTGCTAATAAAAAGCACGGGCACTGTAATAAGGACACTGGGCAGGAAGGAGTTAACATCTGGGGCGGTCAAAAGGGAGAACTGTATGTTAGGGAGTGTTTTTTATTGTGTACTATGTGCTGCTTTACTATGCAGACCTGCTGTGCAGAGAGATAGAAAGCAGCAGGTCCATGCTGACAGGAGAGAGATCTGTGTTTACACAGAGATGCTTTCCCCTTTCAGCTTGGCCAATGATCACGAGTCCTGGCCAAAAATCACTGCCCGGGACCCGGTGATTGGACATCCTCAGGAGCCAATAGCAGTGCGGGTAGGGCGGCGTGCGCCCCCACCCGGAAATACAGTACATCTGTTGTGGGGCGGCACGCAAGTGGTTAACAGAGAAGATATGTGAACATCCTGTGTTACCTCATCTGCCAATAGGAAAAGGCCTTCTTCCCAGGCAAAGTGAATGACTTCCTCTATACAGTGTTTGCTCTGGACCTGTCCTGGAAAAGAAAAAAGGGAAAATATTGACATTGCAGGTACTAGCCCGGCTCTGCTCCAACAATACACACAGTACACATGTCATACATACATACATACATACATACATACATACATACACATACACATACACACACACACACACACGCACACACACGCACACGGAGTGAGCTGCAAACACAGACTGTTTTACCTTCATGCATACAAATAAAAAACATATACATACATACACACATATATATATTTATTTAAATGGGCCCCTTAGGATAGACTACAAATATGAAGCGCCTCAGGTTGCCATACTTCAATCTGAAGCAGCCCTCTACAGTACAGCTCTTTCACCATTAGATGTCCTCAGTCTTCTGGGTTGAATGCTGCCCAATGTCATTCAACTTGGAGGATGAATGATATACTATGAATGAATGGCCATCACGGTCCCGCTCCCTACTACAGCACCCTTCATTCACAGTGTATTCAGACTATCGCCTACTCTTCCCACTTTTAGGCGATCTCTGAAAACCTATCTCTTCAGGGAATCCTATCCTGCCCTCTGCGAATAATGGAATCTTCTATTCCTCCTACCAGTCCATCCCCCACAGTTATTACATTTTGTACCACCAGCCCCTCCGTCCTAGATTGTAAACTCCAAGGAGCAGGACCCTCTTGTATTGAACTGTATTGTTGCTGTATTGTCTCCCTTTATATTGTAAAGCGCTGAGCAAACTGTTGGCACTATATAAATCCTGTATAACAATAATAAAAAAACCAAAAAACTAAAAAAAAACAAAAAAAACACCTCCCCCAAAAAACAAAAAAATTTAAAAAAAAAAAAAAAAAAAACCCCACACACAACACACGGCAGCCACAATGGACCATTTGGTCTTTTTCTGCTATCACTGTTCTATGTTTCTATCGCTCTGTGCATCAGCAAAGGAGCAAAGAAAGCAAACCCAATGCATCATGTGACCAGCCTGAAACCATCTACAAAAAAAAATAAAAAAAAAGCTAAAAAAAAAAAAAAAAAAAAAAAAAAAAATCATCAACTCCTACACTATGGGGACCTCTATTAGGGCAGAACGTAGGGATGGGCTTTAAATGCTCTTCTTCATAATAGTCCCAATTCATAGTCTTACCTGTTGGGTTTCCTGGATTAATGATGCACAGCACTTTGGGGTTGCAGTACTCTCTGGCCTGATATAGAGATCTCCTCAGTTCATTGACATCCAAAGCCCAGCAGTTGTCCTCATCCAGGTAGTAATTCACCTGAACTGCATCAAACTCAGATATGGCCGCAGAGTAGAGCGGATACTGCGGGATGGGAATCATGACTCCTGTGCGGGACTTCCCCTCCCCCGACACAAGGATCTTCAAGATGCTCTGAAGGTGGAAAAACAATTCTGTTAGGCATGACTATGTTACATTTACACATTGCCTGATTAAAACCTGGTAGTGAGCATCCTGATCAGGAAGAAAATCACTGCGGTGATCACTCATTGAGGTTGATTTACTAAACAAATACTAATGCCAGCCATAGACGGGACGAAAATCGGCCGGAAAAAAAAAAAGGCCGATTTTCGCACCGTTCGTGGGTTAATTTGTCAGCCATTTTTTCGGGCATCTTGCACATTTTTTTTTTTTTTTTTTTTTTTTTTAAATCGGGCATGTTGGAAAATTTGCGGCCGATTTTGACAATCGGCCAATTTTCCCGGCAACGATGGGCAAAAGTTTTACGGATTAAAAAAAAAAAAGAAAAGCTGTGAAATAAAATATACGCACGGCTATGCCTTCACTTGCTCCAGTGGTCAGGCAAATATTGTCAGGGTCTGCCGGGATCCCCCCATCTCTCTTCTCTATATACCGAGCAACATCTTCCCGGATGCAGGCCACACCTTGGCTGGTGCTGTAGGATCCTGAATGAGAAAGGAAATTCTTTAGCATGAGAAACAACAATATTAAGCTTTACAAACCAATACAGAAAATACTAAATTCTAGTTCAGGTAAGGAATGGCCTGCTGAACAGGGCTGCTGTCAAGAAACCACAGGGCCCCATACAGCCAACGTGACAGGGCCCCCAAATAAAAACAGTTTACTATGCTTCAATTATGAATGAACATAGTGAGCGATTGGTACTAATCACTTGTGTTCAGAAAGGAAGGGGCTGGTAAATTACATATTTACGGACCCTTCCCCCATTCTTCCTATAGCGTGTTTGCAGCTAGGAAGGAGAGGAGAGAAGCCGACAGCATTACAGGGGTGGGGCACACGGGGGTGAGCTTGGGCAGCATGGGGAAATGTATGGTGCACCGGGAGGTGCTGCAGAGAGAACCATACAGGGGATCAGCTCCAGCAATTGCCCCCCTCTCCCCCGCTGTGCAGATCACCATCCCTGCCCACATCCGATTCTTCCAGCTGCCTGGGCCCCCCTGGTAGTCTGGGCCCCATACAGGAGGACCAGTGGTACCCCCTTGCATACTTATGTGCTTGTTTTGACTAGCTTGTTTAACTTGCCCTCCAGAGGATTCCCCCCCCCCCCTTCCTGCACAGGCCACTGTTTGCGTTACGGCACTGCATTACTTTAACTGACAATTGCGTGGTCATGCAACGCTGTACTGAATTGAAATTTATGCTCTTTTCCCCCCATGAATAGAGCTTTCTTTCGGTGGTATTTGATCGCCTGTGCGTTATTTTTTGCGCTATAAGCAAAAAAACAAAAAACATGTGCAGTAAAGAAAAAAAAAAAAAAAAAATTTTTCGTCATAAATTCAGGCCAAAATGTCTGTTAAAAAAAAAAAAATCCCAAAACGTGTAAATTAATTAGCTTACGTGAAAGTTATAGCGTTTACAAATGGCGGTATAGATAATGGGATTTTTTTTCCCCTACTAGTAATGGCGGCGATCAGCAACTTTTAGCGGGACTGCAACGGACATTCTGACACTGGGGGGGGGGGGGGGGGGGGGGGAGGAAACTGACTTGGTGTCACGGACACCTCCAGTGACACCAATACAGTGATCAGTGCTAGAAATTTAAAAACAAAAAAAAAAAAAAAAAAAAAAAAAAAAAAAAAAGCACCGACACTGTACTACTGGCAATGGGCAGGAAGAGGTTAATATGAGGGGAGATCAAAGGGTTAATGGTGTGCATTTTACTATGGGGCGGGGTGTTCTTCACTGTAAGCACACTGATTGGGATAGCTGTACTGTGCACACCCATCCCGAGCAGTGTGCTCAAGCTGACAGGGAGGAACTGATGCTGCACTGATAAGCAGCACTGCTGGGTACAGGTGGGTGGCACCAGGGGCGGACTGACAACTCATGGGGCCCTCGGGCAATAGGGGATCACGGGGCCTCCGTGTCCTATGAAAAGGTACTAGGGGGGCATCTCATGGGGCCCCCTACTGACCCTGGGCCCTTGGGCAGTGCCCGAGTTTCCAAATGGTCAGTCCGCCCCTGGGCAGCACTGATCATCAGGGCACTGATCATCAGTGCCGATCTGTTCGCTGACAACTGCTAGTTATCGGTTGCTGTGATTGGCCTTTTACCACATTACGTGACCAGCTGTGTCTGTAGGATACAGCGACCACGTAGATCGCCTGGTGTGCAGCCTCTGGGGGCGAGCAGTAGGACGTCATATGACATCCTCCCAGAACTGGACAACCGCGCTGTAGCCGTCATTGCCAAGTGGTTAATTCCTCCGCATGCGTGGTCCGTGTCATATCTAACTATTATGCAGCTTTCGCCTTTACTGTACTAGATACAGAGACTTCAGGATTGTTGAATATGTAATTTCCTCGCAGGAAGTGTCAGCTCTAAGACCACAGACAGAGGTCATGCATTAACCTGTGAAGTGCCACGTGGCACACCTCACATTTTAAACACAAACAAAAACTTCGACACCGAAATGTGAAGAATTACTCTACTATAGGCTGAGCATACACAGCAACAAATCGCAGCTTGAAACTACAGTATCAATGCTCATCTTCAGGCAAGCGAAAAACACAAGTTACAGCGAAGTAGGTTTATAATGCCTTTAAAGATTTATAAAACACAAGTCTGTTTGTTTGCCCTTGAATTGCTCCTGTACTGTGTTGTGGGACTTCCAAGTATCAATACGGTGTGGAATCCCGGGTGTTAGCATGGTATTGTATGGGATCCCAGCTATCAGCACGGTGCTAATCCCAGAGGTCTGTCTGGTATCATAGAAACATGAAAACACAAGCTCTCCCAAATTCCCAGGCTGCTTGGATGCCATGCTGATCCTCTTGCTGCCTTCAGTCACTAAAAGAAAGAAAGGGGAGCGCTTCTAAGAGCGGCTATGTGCTGACTCAGAACAAGAATGCAGAGCAGGACTTCTGACTTTTCTCTAGCTTTTCTTAAAAAGCTAGTCCCAGGTTGGGAACTTACAGTAGAAAGCTCTGAAGCCGGACAGTAACCATCCTGACGTCAGACATGCAAACCGAGCCGTAACAACAGAATCCCAAACGTCTGTATCTTTTTCTGGCATATAATAGTTCCCTACAGAATACACACAACAACTTACTCCAAGTACCGTATTTTTAGCTCCATAAAGACACACCTAGGTTTTAGAGGAAGAAAACAATAAAAAAAAAAAAAAAATACTCTGAAATCAACGGACTGCGGACACGCCGCGGGAGATGACCCAGAGCCCGCTGACACGCCGCGGGGATGATGACCCAGAGCCCGCTGACACGCCGCGGGAGATGACCCAGAGCCCGCTGACACGCCGCGGGAGATGACCCAGAGCCCGCTGACACGCCGCGGGAGATGACCCAGAGCCCGCTGACACGCCGCGGGAGATGACCCAGAGCCCGCTGACACGCCGCGGGAGATGACCCAGAGCCCGCTGACACGCCGCGGGAGATGACCCAGAGCCTGCGGGCATAGTACAGGAGATAACCAGAGACTGCAGACCTTTGGTGAGCAAAAGGATGGGGGGGGGGGGGGGGGGGAATTACACAGGTACCCGCTCCCACTTCCGCCGAGTTGTCCTCCCTCCCTGTAGTCTTGTGGGACACATGACAGGTCCCAGAAGACTGCCGGACCATTCACAAAGCGCAGCGCTTCTCGCACACGTGCAGTGGGGACCCGGCTGTGAAGCCGCAAGCTATCACAGCCGGGTGCCCACACTGAAGATCGCGGTGCCAGGGAGAGAAGACTGAGGACATCGCTGGACCGAGGAGCAGGTAGGTCCGAGGAGCAAGTTCTGCTGCACAGAAGAGCCGTGCGGCCGGCCCGGTGTTCTAACACGACGGCAGCGGGAATAACGGGTCGGCCGCTCCATAAGAAACACAGGCATTTCCCCCCATTTTTTTGGGGGAAAAAAACATGCGTTTTATGGAGCGAAAAATACGGTACACAAAACACTGCTGTGCTTCCTTTATGGGTTTAGATACATCTGGTCGTATTGTCACACTTCTAAAAATACCTACATGTGAGTACACATCCAGACAAAACTCCCTGGCATTTTCACTGGATTCTGTTCCATTGTAACTGTGCCTGGCCCTATTACTGGGCCATTAAAGCACAAGATCACAGCTAGTAGAATACAACAATCACATTTGAAAAAGAAAATCAATATGTTTGACTAAAGCCCTGCAGGAAATGAAAATGTACGCTAAGAACAAAACTGTGCACTGTAATGGAGTACATGCAGGCTTGCAGAAAAAAAAAACACAAAAAACTCCTTGCACCGATGACATACTGCAATCCGTTTCTTAATGTGGTACTGCACTGTATCTGAGCACCACAAACCAATATACAGTTTGATTAATTTTTTAATATTCAAAGCAAACCCCCTATCCAGGTAGGCAGGAGGTGTGTGCTTAGCTGAGAAAACTCATCCTCCCCTCTTGAGGACTCCTGGATGTGTGGCATAATTTGCCTAGCCCAGAAACTAGGAAGTAACAGAATAAATGAGAAAAAAACAAAACAAACAGAAAAAAGCAAAAAAAAAAAAAAAAACGTAAAACAAGTAAACATAATATACCTTCCTGTCTATTTATTAATGACTAGCAGAAGTATTAAAAATATTTCAGATTGATAGAGTTCAATTCTACTTTATAAATCATTATCCAGGTAAGATAAATATGAACAATTTCCTCCTCGCATCATTGACATGCTGGTGCCGTACAGCGGTTGCAGGCTGAGCCAAGTCAGAGCATTTCAGTGACTGGCACGCTGGCCCACACGTCCGATGATTTACGTCTTCCTTCTCTGTGGAGCTCTAAATGAGATTTTATTCCGTTTGACAACATTCAATATTTTTTTAAACAAGGTAGTTCAGTCTGAATACGAAGGCGTATTGATTACTGCATCTCACCAAGGCTGTAGCCTCCACATGACTGCAGGATTCTGCTGGCTCTGCTCTTGGCATCCGCTGGGAAACGCGGGCTATCCAGGAGATCAGGATAGGTGCACAGTGCTACGACCTGCGAACAGCAGCAGAAGTAATAGCTGGTTATTCATTTGTTGGAAGGCCGGAGGGACAACTACTATGAAGAAAAAAAAAAAAAAAAAAAAAAAAAGGAAGATTGGGTCTGCACAGCTTCATCTGGTATTAAACAAGAAAATGGATCATTCCAAACCTGATATTTATATCTCAAGTAGATTGTGACAGGATGAACCTTTCACTGACACCTTAAAACTATCGATTTCCCTGAAGCACCCATTAGCCAATTTTCACAAAACAAAGTGACTCAGCAGTTTCATTCAGAGTATGAACCCTCCCTGGTCACACGGTACTTCGAGTGTGCCAATCTGTTTTCTTTAATCGTGGCATTCACTGGGTGTAGTGGGGGAGGGGGGGTTTGTTGGGTGGGTTCCTTCCAAAGATGCTAAGCAAATATCGACTTTTGTGAAAGTTGGCATCTGCATGTGATCAACCAGTCAACCCCCTTTCCCCAGAACAGTGATCAATCTAGAAATAGGTTGCTCTGGCACTGCATTGCAGAGAAGGCAGGCATGTATTTGCTACCATATTTGAAATTTTAGGATATGCAGGGGGTTACTGCAGCTGGTCGTGGATCGGCCATGCAGGGGGTTCTTGCAGCTGGTCGCGGCGCTGAGCGGGGGGTTACTGCAGCTGATTGTGATGCTGTGCAGGGGGCTTTTGCAACGGACCAAGGTGTGTGTGTGTGTGTGTGTGGTGGGGGGGTGTTTATTGTAGTGGATCAGTGCTAGGCGGGCATACTCTGCACAGAGTTGCATGGGTGGGTATGCACGATGCAGATATAAGGTCACTTTGATTTGTGTGTACCTACTATAGGTTGTGCTTTGAGTTCTCACTTCTGTGCACCTTTCATCCCCATTTCAAGGGGGGTCTACTCTCCAAATTCAGCAACAGATTATAGGAGTGCAGTCATAAAAAGATTTTAAAAACTAAAAATCGGCGATTCACCTTCCAATTGCCAGTTTTTTGGGTGGATGAACCCTTTACATCCCTATAATGAAAAAATATTCATGTGATGCTAATAACAGAAGACAAACTGTTCATTACCTGTCGCAGAAATGTGATTGGCTGCTGTCCCATAGCATGAGCATCACCGATGTTGGCTTTTATGACCTCATCGAAAGGTTTCTTAATCCCCTATAGAAAAAATGATCAGTAAGTCAGAGGCGTGGAGAAACAGGGTTTAATCAATTGTAAGTATTGAAATTATTGGAAGGAAAGAAAGCCACCGCACACCAATGACCTCACTGCAGTGCAGGATTATTGCACAGACAGCCACAACAGCAGTCTGCCCCTCAAGGACTGACATTTGTTTTTTATTTTTTTTTTTGCCATTTACAGAGAGGATAATTGGGGAGAGGAGGAGCAAAATAAAAAATACAGAAGTAATTGACGGTCCACTTTAACATCACTTCATTTTTTTTATTTAAGGATACATCATATACATGAAAAAAATGCAACAGAAAGGGTTACATTCTTCGCAGTCACTTTTAATAAACACAAAAATGTGTCAGAAATTCTATATTTAACTGCTGCCGCCTTCACTCTGCCGATGCGGGGACAACGTGCATGTGCATCCGGTATTAGCTACACCGCTGGGTCGCCGACTCGGAGGTTACCATGGCAACTGCATTCAGTACAAAATCCCTATTGTTGATTATTTTTTTTCCCCACCAAAAAAATGGCACAATTATATTCGGATCTCCAAGTTCTTCTTTCTGCACACATTTTCAATCGCCCTCTCAGTGTTTTAAATGTTTTGTGTCAGTTCCCTCATATTAAAGAAGATCTTAAAGGATCAGGACACGGACGATTGTATAAGAAGACCGATACAGAAAGACTGATTTCCCACCATTCATCTCTATAGAGACAGGAAAGACCGCCATCAGCCAATAAGAGGTGAAGGTTCCAGCCATAGGCTATTAACCGCCTCCCGCCCGCCCTATAAGGAAATGACGGGTGCAAGGCGGTTCCCTTGTTCTGGGAGGATGTCATATGACGTCCTCCCACTCTGGGCACGCAGCGCGGCGATCAGTGGTGCGCTGTGTCCCTGGGACACAGCAGATCACCAATCAATGGAAAGAGCCGATGACGCTGGCTTTGTCATGTGATCAGCTGTGTCCAATCACAGCTGATCGCATGTAAATAAGGAAATTTCTCTCGAGAGCGCGGCCTTTGTCGGTATCTGCAAGCGCAGGAACTTTCGTGCCCACGCTGCAGATGCCGGGGCCGTGCGGTGTCAGCCTCACTGCTGCAGCCCGGAACATCCCCGCGGGAGGGGAGCGGGACATTTGCCACACCATGACAACTGGTTATCGGCATTCCTCTCCTCATGAGCTGTCACGCGACAGAGGAGAGGAGAGACAGTAATTACTCAGAGGGGACATCTACACTGATCTTCAGGGCACTGATGATCAGTGTAGCCCCATCAGTGCCACCTGTCAGTGTCCAATGCCACCTGTCATTGCCTTTCAGTGCCACCTCATCAGTGCCCATCACTACAGCCTCATTAGCGCACATCAGTGAAGGAGAAAAAAAAATTACTTATTTACAAAATTGTATAACAGAAACTAAGAAAAAAAACTTTCAGTTGTTTTTGGTTTGTTTAGCAAAAAAAAAAAAAAAAAAAAAAAAAACCACCCCAAAAACCCAGAGGTGATTAAACACCACCAAAAGCCAAAAGAAAGCTCTATCTAAAAAGAAAAAAAAAAAAAAATTAAAAATAGAAAAAAAATATTTGATACGAGTACAATGAATGTTGCATGACCACGCAATTGACAAAGTGCGACACCGCTGAAAGCTGAAAATTGGCCTGGAAAGGGGTATACGTGCCCTGTAGGCAAGGGGTTAAATGAGGGTAACACTGCATCTCGGCGCAATGTGTTATCAAGTTGTGCAGTATAGAAAATGTGATTTCCATCCCTGGTATATTTCTAGTAAAAGTTTTGTGAAAGTTTAGCACAATACAAATGTTTTTATTGTATATGAGCCCCAGGAATAATCGCCTGTACACTCTCCATCGAAAATCTGTTCATAGGCAGGCTGATCAATTTGCAACTGCCACTTGATCGAAATAAGGGTCAAAAGAAGGGTCGATGGATCGACTGAAGGCTCCAAAATTGCAGCTGTATCAAGATCCATAGATGAAGGATGACCAAGGAGGAGAGGTGGGGTTAAATCCCCCCCCCCCCAAAAAAAAGATAAAATAAAAACCACTGATCCATTAACCACTTCAAGTCCGGACACTTTTACCCCCTTTCCAGTCCAGGTCAATTTTCAGCTTTCAGCACTATCACACTTTGAATGACAATTGCGCGGTCATGCAATACTGTACCCATATGAATTTTTTTGAGACAGATAAAAAAAAACAAAAAAAAAAAAAAAACACTTTATTTTGGTGGGATTTATTCACCACTGGGATTTTATTTTTTTGCTATATAAAATGAAAATGTCAAAAAATTTTCAAAAAAGAAAGTGTTTTTATTATAAAATTTTGCAAATAATTTCTTCATGAATCTTGGCCAATATGTATTCATCTTTTTAGAAAAAAAAAAAATTGGATGCGTTTTGGGGAACAGGCCCCCCCTTCCTGCAACCTGCTACAGTTCTGCCATTGATATGTACACCTCTTGTAGGGACCCTCCCCTTCATTATCCACCATGGGTGGTCCCACTACACCAAACAACCGGGCCCGTTCCACTAACATCCCCACAATTGACCTCACTGGCCATCAGACTGTAGGCATTAGCTACATACATATCATACTTTAGGTCATATTGATAATCGGATGAATAAGTATATCAATGCTCATGATCCAAAACATAATAAAATACACAGTGAAGTGTAACAGAATATCCTGAATTCTAATGAACCACTGATACATAAAGTCATTAACCCATACATTCTAGGATACTGATCGCCTATATTACACCGTAGAATCTGCACTTACTTTGCAAACGGGGGAGAGAGAGAAAAAAAAAAAAACAAAAACAAAAAACTCAAGTTATGCAGGCCATACATGGTTCGAATTCCGAACGATTTTTCTTCCAAAAATTGGAAAAGTTGTTCGCTCGGTAATCCGATGGTGCCATCATTGATTTTGAAAATCGGCCAACCAAGTCATAAAGTTCACCCCATAAAACAGCCAAAACTGTTCCTTCCAGGTCATGGCTCATGCACATATTCTTTTCAGAAAAACGATCGTACGATCATATAAAAACATCGGTCGTTTTTCACGAATTTTCCAACATGCCCGATCACTGAAAAGGGGAGGAACCACGAAAATCAGCTGATGCCATTGACCCACTAACAGAGCGAAAAATTGGCAGATTATTCTTAGGTCCGATTTTCAGACGAAAAATCGGTTGATTTTCGACCAGTGTATGGCTGGCCTTAGTATGGCGCGCCTCCCAGTTCTCAGAGAATTGTTAGTAAACAAAACAGTTCTCTCCGTTAGCTCCTGCACACTGCTTTGCATGACTCTGCAGTGTGCTTACAGTAAAGCACAAACACAGATCATCATGTAAAAAAGCGCACAGTTAACCCTTTGATCGGTCCAGATGTTAACCCCTTCCTGCCCAGTGCCATTAGTACAGGGTCAGTGCTTTTTATTAGCACTGATCCTTGTATTGGTGTCACTGGGGATGTCAGTGGCAGTTAGTCAGTCCCCCCCCCCAGTGTCAGAATACCCACCGCAGTCCCGCTAAAAGTCGCTGATCGCTGCAATTACTAGTATAAAAAGAAAAAAATCCCAGTATATACACCGCCATTTTGAAACGATATAACTTTCACGTAAACCCATTAATTTACACGTATTGGGATTATTTTTTTTAGCAAAGACATGAAGCAGAATACATTTTGGCCTAAATTTATGATAAAAAATTGATTTTTTTTACTGGACATGTTTTATAGCAAAACGTATAGTTTTTTTTTTTTTTCAAAACGGCCGGTCTTTTTTGTTTATAGCACAAAAGATAAAAACTGCAGAGGTGACCAAACACCGCAAAAGAAAGCTCTATTTGTGGGAAAAAGGACATAAATTTAATTTGGGTGCTGCGTTGCATGACCGCACAATTGTCAGTTAAAGTAAAGAAGCGCCGTATCACACAAAAAAAAAAAAAAAAAAAAAAAAAAAAGGAGGCCTGGTCAGGAAGAGGGGGGGGGGGAATCCTCTGGTTAATATTTCTACTACCACCACCACAACTACAAGGCCAGACATGACATGATCACACACACAATCATGTGTTAGATCCAACCAGTGCCATCCATCAGTGTCATTTATCTGTGCCGCACACAGAAAGCTGAGCAGATCATCTTTCATTTCCTGACCTTCACTAGGAAAGGAAGGGAAACCATCTATTTACTAAGAGCAGCTCACATCTTCCTTCGAGACATTATGTCTGAACGCTGGACTTAACCTCTTTGCTGCCAGAGCCGTTGTTTTTGCATGTTTAAAAAAATAATTTTAGGCCAGAAAAATACTTAAAGGGGAACTACACTGCATTTGAGCACCACAAACAAATGACTTCTGATCGCCTAGGCCAGGGGTAGGCAACCTGGGAGCCGCAGGACTACACGTTCCCTCATGCCTCTGCAAGTCATAGCTGTAACTGTCAGTTTTGTAATCTTTGCAATGCCTCATGGGAAATGTAGTTCCACAACAGCTAGAGAGCCGCAGGTTGCCTAGGCAATTGCAGCGGAAGTGGGAGCGGGTAACTGCCAAATTCGGGTACCCCCTCCCCCCCTCTGCCCAAAGGGGCCAATCCTTAATGGAGATCGGGGGACAAAGGCTTAAAGCAGAACTTCCCATTTTGGGTGGAGCTCCGCTTTAAATCCCCTTTCTTCCCCATTCTGATGCTCGGTTTGAACTTCAGGAAGTCGTCTTCAACCTCGTCTAGATGCCTAAAAGCATTGAGTTGCTGCCATGTGATTGGCTGATTAAGTTTGTGTTACCGAGCAATTGAACAGGTGGACCTAATAAAGTGGCCAGTGAGTGTAGATGATACAGTATGGTATTCCAATGCCGATGTTATAGAATGAAAGTGTATGATGTGAACATATAACTCTGTTAATAGGGCGGCACAGTGGCTAAATGGTTAGCACTTCCACCTGGCAGTACTAGGGTCGTGGGTTCGAAT